CTATATATATCTATATCTATATATATGAATTCATTCATTCTGAGCTGAAAGCAACAGCAATAATAAGCACAGTTGATGAAAAGCAGAAAAGCTGCACTCACTGCCGAATCAAAGTGTCGCAAGCATTGTCAGCAAGGGGCGCCGCAGCAGCAACAGCAGGAGCAGAGCTCGGAGGAGGGACTCGGGCATTATATCTTGTTCACTGCACACATTTTGACAGTTAAAAAAAGCGAAAAGTACACTCTAAAAAAGTTGATCGCATTGTGCAACGCACAAAGCTGCCAACTATTGTTGCCCGCCGCCTCAGACAGCGGCAATGGCACCTGCAACTCTAATGCGATTAAAGCCAGTCTCTCGACTTGAGCCGGCGCCGTACATTGTCTGCAATCAGTTTGAAGTCAATGGCAGTCGTGGCAGTGGCCACTTAAGATGTAAGCAACAATAGCTGCAACAGCAGCAACTGCAACAGCAGCAACAGTCGCTCAGCGGCTGTGCAGTCGTTGCTCATACGCCGCGTCAGCCGCATTCTCGCTTTGTCGCATTGGCGTGCAATAATATGTTAATGTGATGTGTGATAATAACTGATGCTGCCAACGATGCCATTAGCATTTTCAAGCAGGCAGCTTCAGCCGCTTCATGCCTCTGCTTCAGCTTCGTGTGTATTGCGTTTAATGTTTACGCTCGCGTTTCGCGTTTCGCATTTTGATTTTCGTTTTTTATTTTTCCTTTTCTGTTGTGATTTATGATGCTAATGACACGCAGCCAGGAGGCGCCAGGGCAGACTTCTAGGGCTGCTCCTGCTTCTGCATCTGCTGCTGCTGTTGCTATTGCGGCTCTCGCCTGTCTTGATGGTTATTAAATTAGGGCAATTTGTGTACATCGTCAGCGTTGGCTGGTGTTTATTTAAAACATGTTGCCAAACAATTTACGCTCAATATTTGAGGGCTCCTTCAGCTACGCATTATGCAAAGCTCCCGGATTGGCGAAATGCTTATGCGCAGGCGGAAGCGTAAAATGAAGAAAATGTTTGTTCCTTTTCCGTTTGCAGTTGCAATCGAAGTGCACGCAAATACACACACACACACACACACACACACACACACACACACACACACACACAGCGTATGTGGGGTTAGCAATGCGAATCTCTCTCTCACTCTGTGTGTGTGTGCAGTAAGCCATTCGAAAAATAACTTTTCAATTTCCGCAAAACCACAGAAAATATATAAACTTTGCACAAAAATTTAATAAAACTTTTCGCATAAATAAAATTTGCATTAAATCAGCTGCAAGCGACGGCAGCCATGGGTTGGGCATCGGCTTAGAGCGGCGCATATGAGTGTCTATGTGTGTGTGTGCGTGTGTTGGTGTGTGTGCGGTCGTGCTAGTGTTTGTGTGCAAAACTCATGTCGAGAAACTTAATTTGAAATATTTGAGTTTGGTATTTGGAGCGCGTTTGTTTTTCTTTCATTTGCCTTGGCTGCCGCATCGAAACTAATCGAGAAAGTTCGAAAATTTGTCGCCAGCCCCTCCCACCCGCCTCCCTACACCCTAGAGCATTGATGCAACATAAAAAGTTAACTAGTTAGTGGCAGCGATGCGTTTGACACATCGCAGCCGCATTTTGAGAGCGCACCGAAAAGCTCACCAAATTGCGTATACGCCGCATTGCCGCCGCCTCCGCACTCACGTTTGCTGGAACAGAACAAGAGCAGCAGCCACACTGGTAATATGGCTTAGCCYCCGGCTTACGACTGACTGACTGACAGCCCAGCCAGTGGCTATGTGGCCGTGGCAAAGTCTAAGTGTCATGGATTATGCCATGTGTATATGTATTTGTAATAGTTCGCATCCCGTTCAGCTACCGTCTCACTTGCTGCTCCTCGCCCACGCTCCTGCCTAATCTGTGTACGCTTTGTGAAAATATTGATATTGGCATTAAAATTTAATTAACAACTCGCAACGTATGCTGCGTAATTAACTTGCTGAGCCCTTGGCTTTATCGTCACTCGCATGAATGACGTGAGCATTGATTTGACTTTAGCTTTGATTTTGATTTTGATTTCGATTTTGATTTCGATTTTGATGTTGATGTTGGTATTGATTTCGATGCTTACGCATTTTTTCTGCATGGCTGCTTGCCAGCTGAGTTTTGGTTTCCTTTGAACCCAGCCTCACACTCGGCTCGGGCGTCAACTTTCGGCTTTGTCGAATTTTCTACCTATTAAGCACATGAAATTCAATCACAACAAATACAAACACCCACGCACACTCAAGCATTGCTACGAGCCATTTGTACCCTTATCACTTGTGGTTTAAACACATAAAATATGAAGCGAAAACGCTTTCCGGCAGCTTCTTCTATTCTTCTTGCGAGCCACCGTGAGACTTGTTGCATCTGTGGCAAAGACTTGGGGCAAAATATTACCTATGCGTGACTCAAACTGCACACTTTTATCATTACTCTCTCCCTCTCTATCTTTCTTTTCCTTTATTAATTGTAGGTAGATTTGAATTATTCATTTAAGTTTATCCCAAGGCTCTAACAGAGCAAGGAATCATTACCTATGTGCATAATAATTATAATTAAGTATTTTCCAAAAATATTCCAAACTGAGTCAACATTTCAATTCACATTTTCCGCATATTTTTGATTGAAAATACTGAGTAAAAATTCTTATATATAAAACTCTCGTATTGTAATATAATTTTCCTTGCCTATAACAATATGAGCTACAGAAATATTAGTTGATTAGTATAAAAAAATGATTTCAAAATAAATAAATAAAATAACAAAAACAATTTGACGACGATTCCGCCCAAGCAACAGGAGCAGCTGCATC